CGTGCAGATAACGTGCATAATCGTGTAAACAGCGTCATTTCTCTTATGTACAAAAGATTCATTATTGTTTATTACTGAATGTCTTTTTTATTGAATTAATGTTTGTGTGTGCAAAATGAGCAAAACAATTCATTAATAATACGTAGAATATTAAAACACACGAAGAAATGACACAGCATTGTTTTAGTTGATTACAAAGCCAGTGACTGACTGGTTCTACATATAAAACTGAAGAAAATAAGACCTTGGTTGTAGCTGTAGTAAAGTTAATATGGTTGTTTTAAGTAATGTTATTTGTTAATAAATGGAACAATAGAAGTAGCTAACGATAATGATAAAGAAAAGAGATCGCGTACTGTATGTAAGTGCGCACACGTGAAAACATATCATCATTACTTTACATAAGAATATGAAAGCAACACTTATTTACTGCTCATATATATTGAAGGGTTAAATGTTGTACTCTGTATAGACAAGCAGAGAGAGAGAGAGAGAGCAGCCGAACTGCCGGATGTAAACAAACCTTAATTTCCCGCAGCTTTTTTTTTTTTAAGGGGATTAGCCCACCCGGGCATAGGTCACTGATGCACATTGGGGTCTGAGGGGCAAAAATTTAATACTCCTGTAATAATAATTCAGATACTAAGTGTAAAAAAAAAAAAAAAAAAAATCTGCCTATCTACCTATTGGGACAAACTAAAATCGCTCCGAACCACGGGAGTTTCCGGACCATAGAATGCCGGACTAGAGAGGTACAACCTGTATAATGAGAAAAGAAAGCAGCTGTGCAAGGTTCATTCGACAGCTTTATTAAACGAAGGCCTAAACCATCAACTTCAGCTACACCATCAAATTCAGCATCATAAGTAGCTTCAACAACAACTTCAGGTTCAGGAACAGTTTCAGCAACAGCTACGACATCTTTATGGAAAACTTCAGCCAGAGTTGAACCTACAGCTTCAGCCAGAGTTGAACCTGATGACTTCACCATCTGAGTAAAAACTCACACATCATCATTGGCTGACCTTATGTTTTAGACTTTACCACCATTGGTGAGTAGAATTTTTTTTTACATTCGTAAGTATTATTTAAAACACACATGAACAGTAATAAGCGTTGCTTTCATATTCTTATGTAGAGAAATGACGATATGTTTTCACATGTACACACTTCTGTACGTTGGCGTTCTCAATCCATCTCGGTTTTTCTTCAACATTAGTGGTTAGCTATTTCGATTATTCCATTTCTTAACATTACTTAAAACATACATATTCATTTTTTTACATTAATTTTACTATGGCTACGACCAGGGTCTTATTTTCTTCAGTTTCTTATGTAGAACCATCGTCACGGACTCACAGGTGTAAACACACACAAAAACAATGCCGTCTCCTCTCCTCTTGTGTGTTTTAATATTCTACGAATTATTAATGAATTGCATTGTTTATTTCGCATATATAAAGATTAATTCAATCAAATACACACAGTAGTACCCCAATTTACGCGGTCAATTGAACCCACAGGGTACCGCGTAAAGTGAACAACAGAACATATGGGATTAATTCCAATAGAGACTGGCCCGACCCCCAAACTCCACTTTTTGACGACACACAACTATGTTGTAGTAAAAATATTATCTTAACTTTATGATGGTATGCACACACAATTAATATAGAAGAGGTTAGGTTAGGAAAAATATAGGTTAAGTTAGGAAAAATAAAGGTTAGGTTAGGAAAACTAAAGGTTGGGTGTAACACTTACGTTAGTAGAAGAGATGGGTCGGCATACGGGGACGGAGGCTGGTTCCGAGGCAGAGGGCAGATTACTGGCCCTCAGGTGAATCACCATTACTAAGTGCATCACCATCACTATCAGTTACAGTTGTCAGGGCTTCCCTGCCAAATCCCTCAAAGTCACTTTCACTGTCACTATCACTGGCTCTGGCTGGCTGTGGTGGGATGCGGGCGAAGAACTCAGTAATGCTTTTTTGACGGCTAGTGTGATGTTGTCTTGATACACCTTGATGTACGGCTCCATAGCCTGCACCAGCCGGGTATGGAAGACTTCATAGCGGTCATCGTCATGGTCGTTGGAAAGGAAGAGCTTCAATTTCTCTGCACACTCGATGGCACCCTTAATATTACTATGAGTTAACTGTGTTCTTCTGAGATTGACGCACCATCTTCCTCTTCACTGACGTGATCATCTTCCAACATCTCGTCGGCAGTCATTTCAGGATCTCTGATCACCTCCAGGATGTCTTCGTTGGTGGTCTCGGAGAAGCCTTCAGCTGTAATACTGTGCGCAGCTTCTCTTGCAAGGTCCAATGCCACTGTCACAGACTGAACCTCACCAGTCACAGGTTGACTCCGCCTCTCACCTGGTATGCCGTGCAACACATGCCTCCATGCGTGACGAATCGTAGCTATAGACAGCTGATCCCATGCCTCCACCAAGAAGTCTACAGCTTGTTTGACGTTAAATTTCTTCCAAAACTGTTTGACGAGAACTTCTTGAGTCGCCACCTCTTGTTCCTTGTCCTCGTCGCTTTTACTCTCGCTGTCGGTGTCACCCAGCTTACGCAACTCATCCTTGGTGTTGGTACAGTCGTTCAGGAGCTTGAATTTCTTTGCCGAGTATGCAGCTTTAACATAGCAGATCAACTCCTGGTCCATGGGCTGGATTAATGACGTAGTGTTGGGAGGAAGGAAGACCACTTTTACTTTGGGGTGACGATCCATAAGTAGGGGCGAGTGTCCTGGTGCGTTGTCAAGGAGCAACAAAATCTTGAATGGAACATTTTTTTGCTCGCAGAATTTCTTCACGTCGGGAATGAAACAGTCATCAAACCAGGAGAGTGACAGAGCAGAGAACATCCACGCCTTGCATGCGGTCAGCCAGTGGACATTAATCTTGCTCATGTCCACGTTCTTGTGGCGTGCGGCTTGCGGGCTGTGTGAATCACCGATAACTTTGTTTTACAGGTACCGGAGGCATTGGTGGTAAAGAGGACAGTGATGCGCTCCTTCTGCAACTTCCGACCCCGAACCTTGCTGGCAGACTGGACAACAAAGGTCTTGGTAGGCAGCTTTTTCCAAAAAAGGCCGGATTCGTCCATGTTGAACACCTGGTCGTCAGTGAACTGCCCTTCCTCCATAACTTCACGTAAGAACGGAGGAAAATCTCTAGCCGCCACACGGTCAGCACTCGCTTCTTCACCGCCAATGTTGATGTTGGTGATATTGTTCCTCCTCTTAAACCTATGCAGCCAACCAGAGGAAGCATTGAAGGGTTTGGGCTCTGCAATTCCCATCTTACGTGACACTGCTGCGTACAGTTCACGTGCGTACTCTTGAACAGATCGCGTGTCCAACGCCATGTTGCGTCGCGCCTGACGAATCAAATAACTCACCAGCAAATTTTCCACCTTTAGCAGCACCCTGTTCTGGCAATACTTGATCATTGAGGCACCTGCAGACTTTGTGATTCTCATGTGCTCTTTGATCTTGGCTGCATCCTTCTTAATAGTACGAATCGTAGATTCGTTCACTCCATGCTGGCGCGCAAGATCAGCTTGACGTGTTCCTTTCTCCAAATCTTGAATTATCTGGTATTTCACTTCGTAGCTTAAGGAACGTCGTGTCTTCTTTGGCTTAGGGCGGCTGGGTCCAGCTAGCAGTGGAGGGAGGTAGGGATGGCATGGCCAATCACAGTCAGATACGTCATATGACGTCACTGATAACGCAACAGACACATGCACTGCGCAACCTTACCGCGCGGCTTGCCCAGGCGGAGGCGGGAGGGACGAATCTAAAAATAGCATCAAGCCAGACACTCTGCGCGTATATGGGTAGATGAACCGCAGAAAGTGAAAGTTCGGTTCTGGCGAGGCACCGCGTAAATGAGAAAACGCGGAAAGTGAAACTGCGTAAAGCGGGGTAATACTGTATTCAGTAATAAACAATAATGAATCTTTTGTACATATTCTTAAAATAAATGATGCCGTTTCCTTGAGTGCGCATGTATACGTTGGCGCTCCACTATGTCACTATTTTTTCTTTAACATCAGTGGTTACTTCTACTGTACATTAAAAAACATTAATTAAAACACATATTTTGTACATTAATTTTACTACAACAACAACCACCAGGGTGTTATTTTCTTCAGTTTCAGATGAATAACTGACATTATTGGTGTAAAAAGCCACACAAAAGTTATGAAAAGGTCACACTTTGGAATGCATCTCATTATTATTGATTCACAATAAGATGATTCACCTTACACTGCATTATTGGAGGACACATTACCGTCGTTATTCGAGGCTTTACTGTCCAGTTTCACATATGGGAAGAAAGGTTCCAAGCCACTCAGGCCTATACTTGGTCAGCTGCCCTTCACTAATTACCTCAAGTTTATGAAGCCAGCAGGAAACAAGTGGTGGTAGTCCAAGTTCCAGCTTCTATTGTGGACAAATCTCTCCTCAGGGAAATTAGTCCTATTTTTAAGCCATTTATAACAAGAGACAACAATACCAATTTTACAAACTTTCTAACACCAGACAGTTCACCAGAGTACTTTGCTTGTCCAAATAAATAGCTTGTGAATGTATGAGCTGAGGACCAGTCATCTTTTGTGGAGCACAAGTAATGGACACATCCCGAATGAAAGCAAATGAACTCTTTAAGTATCACATTAGACTGGATTTCTACACATGTGCTCTGGGTTACTGATTAGAATGATTTCTAAATTGCACCCAACCATGACTCTGAAAAAAGTGAGCAACCACAAAAAAAGTGTATGTTCAAAAACCTACATAACAATTGAAAAATGTACAAAGAGCAGAGTTAAAAGTAAAGCACAACAGTAAGGAGAAAAACTAATATGTGAAGTTTATCACTATAAAAGATGTGCCAAACTTATGTTGAAACTGTACTACATACGCCACCATACTGTTTGGCAGAGAGCGTCAAGACTAAAGTTACACATGTGCAGCTCTCACCTTAAAGTTTACCAGATGTGAAGCTCCACCAATGGCAGCACTCTCGACTGAGGATGCCCCTCGATATCCAAAGTCATGCAGCTGAAAACATAAATGTATTATAGTATACTGTACCTGTATGTATAATATATAAAAATATAGTTTACATTTTTTATTATCCCTTAAATGGTGGCCATCATCTGTGGAAGTTTCACGTCTCTGCATTTCACTTTTGTATACAGTACAGTATATGGGGTATGTTTTAGGCTTCTGTTAAAGGTTAAACCAAAACAAATAAATGTAATTTCTGGATCAACTCTGGTGTGCACCTTAGTGGACACTCCCTGTGAGTAAGAACCTGGTTGCATGATGGCTGTTGTGGGTCGAGTCCTGGGGAATGGTGTAATGCAATAACATCCGAGGAACACCTTTCGAAGACATAGGACTTGTGTCCTACCTGGGCAAATGCTCAAAATGTAGGTGTAAACCTAAGACACAAGCCCTGTTAAAATAGGCACATTAAATTTATCATAACAGGACCCAGTTAATTCCTTGGAAATAATCTGAATAAAGATCTCACTTGGAACTGAATGTCAGCTAAATTAACCAATTCAACTGACTTCTGAGCCAGTTTGGAGTTCTTTATATTAATTAGTTCAACATACAGTGCAGCGCTTCCTCAAAAGCACTCTCTAGAAAAATGACAAGATCATCCGGCTATAAATAGAGATCTTGGTACAGTATAATTTCATTAGGAAGTGATCATCAACCATATTAACCTGTATAATTAATGTTGATGTTAGTTTATATTGTTTCTGGAAAAAAACAACTCACTCTTACAAGGTTATAATTTGTTTACATCACTATGTTGACGTAAAAGTACAATAGCTTTTTTTGTCCATTTGTTGAATAAGTTTTAGTAGATATTCCTGGAATCATTTCCTCTGGTATCTTCAAAACCTCTGAGCCATCTGTGTAAACATGTAGTGAGAACCCTGTAGTTTTGGCAGAAGAATTAAAGATAATTCAAGTGCTGTACTGAGAAATTCCTGGCCTACTGAAGGTATCTCAAGCCAGCTGTTCACAACATGAGGTTCAAGTTGTGTAGTGTCCTGTTGTAAAGACTGTGAACAACATGAAATATGACGCATGACAACAAGAAACACAAATCAACCATAAAATCACATGTTTTAGGCACACTGCTTTTACATAATTATACACAACAGTTGTAAACCAAGGGTAAAATTAAAACCTCCGAATATTTATATTATTTTTACATCCTTATTCTGTAACCTCAAAATTAATGAGTTACTGTAACCATTTAACCTCCACTTTGATTACAACACTCCATATCAATTCAGCGTTCATACCAGAATGAGTCATCAGGCTCGCACTCTACCGTACATGAGCCTCCGTCAGTCTTCCAGCATGATTAACATGTACACTCTTGACCTTACCGACTCACATATCTATATAAACTGTCCCTCACTCTCTTGCCCCCCATTCCACCAAGCATGTAATCATTTGCACATATAACATAATTTGACAACTTTGGTAAAAGATGTCACTGGGTAATCTTACCAAGAAAGGAAGAGACTCCAGGTTGTCGTGTGTGTCCTTGAGGTACTGATGAATGATTTGCTTCTGGATTCGTGAGTTTGTTGCCACAGTCATAGGATACCATACTTGTACAAATATTGTCTGTAAAAAGGACAGTTCACTGTAATTAATACAAGGAAAAACTAGGAATAAAGGGTTGTACCATACTTGTCTCTCACTGCAATGATAACTGCCAAAAACAACAAAAATTAAACAGAAATGCAATTATTCAGAAAATGTTGTGGAGACAAAAGTATTAAGAAACAATATACATACCAAATACTAGATCAAGTATCCAGGAAAAGAAGTGATCACCTGAAGAATCTCCACCCCAGTTTACTTCACCTAAAGATTAACCACACTAACCTAACCTCATCCCTCTAATAGCATTAGGGTGGCTAACCTTTAGATGATATTAGCTGGGGTGGAGATTCTTCAGGTGATTCCAAAATTATCATAAAAATAACCATGGAAAGAAACTAAAGCAACTCTAGACACTAAATTAATAAAACTAATTCCTCACTGCCAAAATTTCACACGCCTGGCATTTCAAAATTCTAAAGTTTACAGGTAATAATTTTTAATATTTACACCTATACTACTAAAATCTCTAAGCTAACTGCTGAATAGAGTCAGACAATGTCGATAAATGAACAGTTGCTACAGCCTGGGCAGAATCACCATTAAAAACATTTTCTCTGTATTTAATGTGTCAGAATCAGCTTTAAAAACACACATTCTCTCTTTATTTAATGTGTCAGAATCAGCTTTAAAAACACACATTCTCTCTTCATTTAATGTGTCAGAATCAGCTTTAAAAACAACCATTCTCTTTATTTAATGTGTCAGAATCAGCTTTAAAAACACACATTCTCTCTTCATTTAATGTGTCAAAATCAGCTTTAAAAACACACATTCACTCTTCATTTAATGTGTCAGAATCAGCTTTAAAAACACACATTCTCTTTATTTAATGTGTCAGAATCAGCTTTAAATGCACACATTCTCTCTTTATTTAATGTGTCAGAATCAGCTTTAAAAAAACACATTCTCTCTTCATTTAATGTGTCAGAATCAGCTTTAAAAACACACATTCTCTTTATTTAATGTGTCAGAATCAGCTTTAAATGCACACATTCTCTCTTTATTTAATGTGTCAGAATCAGCTTTAAAAAAACACATTCTCTCTTCATTTAATGTGTCAAAATCAGCTTTAAAAACACACATTCTCTTTATTTAATGTGTCAGAATCAGCTTTAAAAACACACATTCTCTTTATTTAATGTGTCAGAATCAGCTTTAAATGCACACATTCACTCTTTATTTAATGTGTCAGAATCAGCTTTAAATGCACACATTCTCTCTTTATTTAATGTGTCAAAATCAGCTTTAAAAACACACATTCTCTTTATTTAATGTGTCAGAATCAGCTTTAAAAACACACATTCTCTTTATTTAATGTGTCAGAATCAGCTTTAAATGCACACATTCACTCTTTATTTAATGTGTCAGAATCAGCTTTAAATGCACACATTCTCTCTTTATTTAATGTGTCAGAATCAGCTTTAAATGCACACATTCACTCTTTATTTAATGTGTCAGAATCAGCTTTAAAAACACACATTCTCTCTTCATTTAATGTGTCAGAATCAGCTTTAAAAACACACATTCTCTTTATTTAATGTCATTCACTAATTAAAATTCCAAATACCAGATAGTTATAAGTTCTTCCTGCCTTATTGACAAACATATGAGTTCTTACCTCAAAGTAATTAGTGACCCAGGGCACCATGGGATCGGTGCTCTCAACAGTAAAAAGAACGTTTTTTGTGGGCACAACTGTTCCCTCAGGTACAGCACAAACACGCAGGGGTAACCTTCCACCATGACGCTGGAATATACTGTACACTAGTAGGTGATTCATCATTAACGGACATATTAAAATACTTAAGCAGAAATAACAATGAGAGTGTGAGGTAGAGACACTGTGTGAAGAGAATAAAGGGCAGTGATAATTAACTTCTTATCCTTGGCTCTATATAAAGCAATATATACAGTATACCTATATATTGAGTGTTAGGTAAAGTTACCATCATATTTGAATGATATTGTAGATAAGAGACATCACCAATATTTGTATTTTCGGTATCACGAATTATAATACAAGAAGTTTATTTATATCACAAATTTTTAAGTCAAGCAACTCAACTGTGCTCATTATATCTTATTTATTAGCCCAATTGGGTGTATAAATTACCATAAATATATTGATTAGTGATAATATTTGACCAAAAGCAAACATCCACTTGCTTGTGAATCACTACACAATTTGGTGCTTATAGGTTTACTGGTCTTGGAAAAATGGTTTTGTCCCTTCTGAATTTAAAAAACAAACAACAGATCGTGGTTCTTCCAAAGTACAAACTTCAAGTGGAGCGCTCATCGAATGAACTGACTAAACAGATGAAGATGTAGTTCATGCAAGTCTATACATAACATGATCGCAGAGCTTGCCCCTCCTCTTTGTCGTCTACATCAAAAAGTCTCGTTACTAATTGAATGACCCTCATATTGAGTATGTTACTTCACAAGTACAGTACCCCTTGACACTGCCAGGGTGAGAGGTAGACACAACCTTTTATTTACCTGTCATGCATATCTTTGCCAGCCAAGGTAATATAATAATAATAATAAGCATGACTTTCAGACATGCGAGATGGACATGACCGTACTAAAGCATACATATATACTGTACAGTACAGTGCACACATTACTACACACACACCCACACTATCTCCCTAACTCACAAATTCTAAATTATTAGTGTATGTACGGTATTTGCAACCATGTGCCTCACAAGGGGAGTTGGGCCACTGCATGCAATCCTTTGTAACTCAAGTCATTATTCTCACAATTACTTAATTAGGCGATATATATCAAAAAACTAATTTTTACACCATTGTCTTCATGGTGGCATTAACTATGTTTAACATTATATTCAGTCTTACTCAAAGATACAGTATACTGTAAATGTAGCAGACAATGAGAGATTTTATTATACAGTGACCCCTCTGTTAACGAACTCAATCCGTTCCAGAAGGTCGTTCGTTAACCGAAACCATTGTTTCAATGGGTTTTTGGGTAATTGGTTCCAGCTCACCGAAAATTTCCTAAATTCAACAAAAATGGTAGAAAAGTTCACTTACTTTGAGGTGTGTATGTAGAAGGCTCCTGGATGATGATGATGATGGGATTTAGAATGGGGGTGGAGGAGAAGGAAGAAGAGAAGGCATTGGGGTGGAAGAGAAGTCACCCCATGGCGCCATTTCACCCATAAAATTTTAGCTCTCTTGGTGTAATTCAAGATTATTTTCTTTAAATCAACACTGCACTGCACTATTTATTGTCAATATGTAAAATATATTTCAAAATGACCAATAATTTGCTTGGAAACACAGAAAAAAGCATTTAGTTGAAGAGTCTCAAGCAAGATGTTACCTCCAGTGAAAACAGAGAGAGACTAACTCCTGTTTGCTGTGTTAAGAGGCTGGATGCCGCGCATTAAACTAGTCACTTTACCTTCAATTATGTTCAATAATTGTTAAAATGACTAAAAAATTGAATATTAAACTTTTAAAATTATTGAATAGTATAAACTTCTTGATATTTACTAAAATAGTAAGGAATTTAAGCCCTAGAACCGATTAATGTATTGGCGGACTGATACTAAAGCTGGTTGCCCAGTCAGTGCAAGCGAAAACATGTTGAGGTCGGTTCGTAAGAACTTCGTTAACCGAATTTTTTTTCGTTAACCGAATTGAAGATCCTTATGGAAGGCAGTTCGTTAATCGAAATTACGTTAACCGAGGTGTTCGTTAAACGAGGGGTCACTGTAAACTAACTCTTTGTACAGTGACTTGCCTCTCACCACCACAACTGTGACTTGCCTCCTACCACCACAACCTGGGTTCCATTTCCATTTGGGTTAGATGTGAGAATGGTGTTGTCTGCTGTGACTTTGTCAAATATCCCAAGTTTTCACTGAGTCCTTCAGTTTCCTCCTACACTGAATCACGAACCACAGTGATGAAGAACAAGGATACCCAGCTCGACGATGGAAATGTGATTGACTGAACTTTCATTAACCCTAAAGCAGATCTGTATTAATTTCATCACTAAAGAGTTGCTGCAGTATGCCCTGTTTGTTTAACAAATTATACAGTAAGCCACTGCTCCCCACCCTTTTCATAATCTCTCTGGACACTTTAATTAAAACATTTAGTGATGACCCTGTGTAGGACTTCCTAATGTGTACATAATATATTTTTTTATAGTAAGGGAGCTCATAAACTAATTAACTTAATGGAATATTCAAGGATGATGAAAGTACTGTAGTGAAAATTAGTACAATATTGTAACACTAATATGTTTTGTTACATGAAGAAAAAATACTGACACCTTTTGATTACCGTATATAAATATTATTACTGTATTGTTCAGAATATTCAAACTGATTAGGGGGGTATATGTTGTTAATTTATCATTGTACTCACTGTACCACTTATCAGCTTACTTGCCATTTGGGCAGTTGGTCTGTTCTTTGTTATTTTGCGAGGAAGTTTATTGTCTAATGTTGGTACAGGAGGAAACTGTGGAGCACCCAGAGAAAACCTGTGAAGCTTGGTAGAGTCACAATGGATAACACCCCTCTCACATGTGTCTGGGCCAGGACTTGAACCCAAGACACAGCTGAGAGAGATGTTTTGTCAGATGCATTAGTCTGTGCTATAATTACCTAAGCCTCATGAACTCATTTTTTTCTACACCTCTCCTTGTTTCCCAAGTTCAAGGAGAATCACAGCTACCGCTCCTTAGTCTTTGAATAATTTAATTAATTCCCTAAATGAGAATTAAACTCAGAGACATCAATTTTAACATTACAAAGTCACATTCACCAGACTTCACTCACTTAGGTACAGCAATGTTCTTTCCTTTATTGGGTGCGAAGTTGCTCTGAAATTAACCTGAAGATTAGCTCCCCTGGCTTATTTCACCTGGTGATCAAACACCTAAAACCTATCCCCCCCCCCCCAATAGTGGTTAGGTTTTAATGGATTAATCCTAAGGTGAAGCAAGATGATGTGGGGTAATCTTCAAGTGTTCCTTCCTTTTATATCAGGGTGACACAAACAAGGCAATAGCTGTTCCTCATTTGTCAGAAGTGAATTGGTGTAGAAATTCTGTGCGTGTCTTAATATGCAAGAATCAGAGTGACAGTATAAACAGCTATTAATGTATAAACTAACCTGCCTGGTGTATATGCAGGGCAGCTACACAATGGTTTACACAACATTAAAAGGCAATAAAAAAAATTAATTAAAGAAGCATGAAATACACAATAGACAACACCCATCCCATTTTCTATATAACACATGATACTCTAAGATTCTTCCCATTTTGTAAAAAAAAGCAACCTTCTTCCCATTTTCTGTCAGTACAAACAACATTCTTCCCATTTTCTGTTACAAGCAACATTCATCCCATTTTCTGTTACAACAAGCAACATCCTTCCCATCTTCTGTTGTAACAAGCAACATTCTTCCCATTTTCTGTTGTAACAAGCAACATTCTTCCCATTTTCTGTCAGTACAAACATTCTTCCCATTTTCTGTTACAACAAGCAACATTTACCATTTTCTATAAGGAAAAATAAAACTTGTGTTAAAACTACTGTACCAACATCCTTTCCATTTTCAATACAGGAGACAACACCTTTCCTGTTTTCAGTATAACCAACATCCTTATTCTCTTCATTATAGAAGGCAAATCCATTGTACAGTCTCGTTCAAGATTCTTCGAACTGCTGGAGACAGCTGGCAACTCAAGGCCGTTTGTTTACTATAGTACATAGTATAATATAATACGAAACAACAAAGCCAAACCATTAATTAAGCAACAGTGAACTAAGTAATCAATCACCAATAACCTTTTACAATCATTCATAATTTTTACTACGCACTATAGTAAACAAACGGCCTTGAGTTGCCAGGTGTTTCCGGCAGTGTTCGAAGAATCTTGAACGCGACTGTACAACTGGTGACATACATATCCTCTATTTTCAGTGTAAACCAGCCAATATCCTTCTCATGTTCAATGTATACCAGACATCATACTCATTATCAAAGTAAGAAACAAATTCTTTCCATTTTCTATAGCTGTAACAGGCATCAGACTTCCCATTCTCATGTATATCAGGCAACATCCTTCCCTTTGGCAAAATACCAGGCAACAAATTCCCCATTATAAGTGTACACCAGGCAACACCCTTTCCAACTTCAATACTATACAGATTCTTTCCCACTTTTGGAGTACAAGAAGTAACAAACCTTAAGTCACTGTAAACACACATCACCTGAAGATTCGACCCCCCCCCCTCCCACCCAGGATATTTCGTCTAAAGATTAACCGCCCTAACGATACCTCAGGGTAGTTTAGGTTTGGTTAGACTGGATCACATTAGGTAACGTTAGATTAAATTAAGTAAAGGTAGATTATATAAGATTGTGTTAGCATTAGTGAGGTTAACTGGTTAATCTACTGGTAAAAAAAAGTCAAGTGAGGGGGGGTAATACGTAAACACGGCCACACCCATTAATCAATGCTTACCACCCACACTATCAAGGCAGTGAGGCGAGGTAATTTACTCTCCATTATCTGTTAAGGCCAAGAAATCTCTGTGTATTATCAAGTGTTTTTACAGCCAGCTTAACCCAAGTACAGGGAAAACAAGGATATTTATTGAGTGAAATCTTTTGTTATTTCTCTTATGGTCATAGTTAATTATAGTCTTTTTTTTTAACTGTATAAATAAATATATATTATATAGAATTATCCAAGAAAATATATATTAGTTCACTTGGTCTGTGTTATTGATCGTGCTTGATGTATTAACATATTAACAATGTAAACAAGAACATATAGAAGCTATGTTCCCTCAACCAAACTGTAGCTAAAATTATATGTTTTTGGGTAGTTTGACTATTGATCCGGTAAAATGATTAAAAAAATAAAAAGAAAGGCAGTCTGGGTACAATGGACCAAGGTAAAAGGCAGCCAAACTTTTAATTAATTTACCCAGAATTGAAGGATTCATGATTAATTGTCAAGAGGATGAAATACTGTAGGACAGGGGGGACCTTGTGGGGTGACAAAAAAAGAGAAAGCCACATTTTTATTTTAGATGAACTTCACAAATAGAAACCAATAACTCTTGTCATATACTACTCAAGAAAAAAATATATATTTACATACACAAATAAAGTAAATCCACCCTAAAATTTTCAGCAGTCACACAACTCCCATCACTTTACTGAGAAAAGCCAAATGATAAAACCCAACTTTACGAGGCTCACATGCCAGTGGTGAAGGTGTTGATCATGCGAACAGTTGTGACGCCACCGCACCTGTGGCAGGGAGAAGGTTTTATCCTCCTTTATTGATTTGTTTGGCTGGACAACCATTGCCAGTACTGAGAGAGTACCTGGTGTGTGCTTATAGGGAGGGAGTAAGGGGGTGGAGGTGGGGAGGTGTGGAGGGGTGAGGAGGGGAGGTGTGGAGGGGTGAGGAGGGGAGGTGTGGAGGGGTGAGGAGGGGTAAGGAAAGGTGTGGAGGGGTGGTGTGGAAGGGTGTGATGGAGAGGTGAAGAGGGAAGGTGTGGAAGGGTGAGGAGGAGTCAGTAGGCTGTACCACAAGAAGTATGATAGACTCGGTAACCTGCAGACAGTGAATAAGACTCATGCAGGAGAGAAAGAACAGACGATTGAAGGCTTTCTAAAGAGACAGTTTAATGGAGTAAATAACAAGACAGAAGTGATCAAGTAACACTCACACTGCCACACTCAACATAATCTGTAAACATTGTCACACTCAACATAATCTGTAAACACACAAAAACATTCCTACTTTTTTTGTTTTTTTCAGTATTCAAAATCTTATCTGGGTTTTTTTTTTCGATTTTTGTGTAGAAGGTTGAGTGTCTCCATTGTATTCATAGCAGAAGGGGATGATAAGGTACCTCTCATGACAATCAATGTAGATAGTGTAATATTGATAAAGATAAAGTAAGCTTTAAAAACCAAGATAAAATTTCAACCTAACTAACCTCTACTATAACTACCTATCAACAGTACAGTATACAAGTTCTGAAAAATTTTATATTTTCTTATGTGTGTTTAAAAGGAAAAACTTTGAACTGTTTTTCCCAATAAAATATACAAATTGTCAAGTGTACGGGAAAGAATAACTTTAAATAGCTTGTGTTAGTAAAACGGAATCTCCTGAAGATTAGAATACCCAGCTTATTTTACCTTAAGATCAGCCTAACCTAACCCCCCCCCCCCCAAGTACCATTAGGGTGGTTAACCTTCTGGTGAAATAAGCTAGGGTGTCTAATCTTCAGAATATGACAACAATTACATATATATATATATATATATATATATATTTATTAAAATATAATATATATATATATATATATATATATATATATATATATATATATATATATATATATATATATATATATATATATATATATATATATATATATATATATATATATATATATATAGTATATATATATGTGTGTGTGTGTGTGTGACGAATTTAGCAGCAGCAAAGAATAGAATCAGTCCAGGCTGGAAATCAACTGTGTCCAATATTCTGACACAGTAACAGTTATCGCCTCATTGATTCTCTGCTCCAGATTGAACCCTGAATTACACTTAAGATAAATCCCTCCCTGCATATATGAGCAACAGCCATACAAAACCTTCATCAGGGACTGGCAGGATCATGAGGGGGGAAAGCATAAGAACCCAAGTCAATAGAGCCTTTGTGGGGAGATGAGCTTATTAGTTACCGTAAGCAGTAATTCCCTGGAGCCATGATTGAGGTGAACAGCTCTTCTGCTCATTATTACAATACTAGTTGACAGAGACAATTATCAGCCGACTCTTTTCATCCGTTCCATAATTTTCTGCCATCAGGCAACAAACACAGAACCCTATTCCATAATCATTAACCAAGACTGAGCCAAAAATAAGTCTACCAAAACAAAGGTCAGATGCAGTTAATTTATACAAACACACATCCAAACACCATTAACTAATATGGCCTTCTTTATAAGCTAAACTCCACTCCACTGATTCCCACAAAGACCAGACAGGAAGACTCCAATTTACAAAATATTAAATATTACTACTGTGCCTCCACCTACAATTATTGCAAGATGACCTTATGTTTTTCATACAAAATAATCATGATAATGCAATGGTAATTCCAGTCAATAACTACACGTTGAGTAATGTTTATCCCCCATGTCTGTAATTCCTGTCTTTTTGTCAACTTAATACTAACTTATGTCACTCTGCCTGTAATGGATTTGATAGGGAGGAATAATCTCTGTAATGTGATGTAGAAAAAAGAGAAAAAAAAAAAGCCAAATTATAACTAAATGATATTTTTATCTCCAATATACAGAGCTTATGGAAGTTTAACACACTTTATGTCTATTTACCTATTTATTATATATATTCCCTTTCCATAATTGTGTAGGGATGATGACTGAGTACAAGAGAGATGGTAAGGGTTAGGTGCATAACAAGCAGGGACAATAGAGATAAGAAACTATGACAGACAGAACTATACACACAGAGGACAATAACCAAGAGCTCTCCTCTCACCTCTGTTAGCATTCCTGACTTAGTATTACCAGTAAGGACTGCCCTTCAAATTACATACAGTACATAATAAAATGCCAAAAATAGTACTGTTCCAATTCAAAACTTTGGGAAGGAATTCTGGCGGGTAATGCAATGTACTGTATACATAATAAACATTTACTTTCCACTAAACACAGTGACGTTGATATGAAACAGCAATTGAGGATAAGAAGTATGAAAGAATACTTCTACTGGTTGTCTCACCCTTCACTGTCATGATTTAAGTTCTCATCACGTTTTACCCTATTATTGAAATGACTATATAAGAAAAGGCATTAAGTACAATCCACTCACACATCCACAACAGCCACTCACTCCCACATCTACAACAGCCACTCACTCACTCACACATCCACAACACAGTCACTCACTCACTTACACATCCACAACAGCCACTCACTCCCACATCTACAACAGCCACTCACTCACTCACACATCCACAACACAGTCACTCACTCACTTACACATCCACAACAGCCACTCACTCCCACATCTACAACAGCCACTCACTCACTCCCACATCTACAACAGCCACTCACTCACTCACACATCCACAACACAGTCACTCACTCACACCTCTCCCACTTTAAGGTTGGTGTATAGTACATGGGAGAGGAACAGGCAAATCATACTGAGATCAGGAAGTCATTACCTTATCAACATTTGGTCAGACCCTATCCTGAAACACTCAATTTACCTGTCAGTAAAGGTAACTAGAGGTCCCCTGCCGCCAGTGTCCTCGACCGTTCTCACAACAAATGACGAGCGACACACCTTACCCACAACAATAATTAGTTCATTCATCAAATATGTCATGCAACCTGGACATGCATGCACCACTGCACCTACAAGGGAAGTCTATCACCCTTTTGTCCAAATATTTATGAAGATTAAACATTAGCAATTATGTGGAAATGATGACTACCAACCTGCATGATATCACAATATTGATTCACCAATTTAGTTAGGAAGGATTATCTCTTAATTGAATAACTTCTTCATTATAAAAACTACAACTCCCAATTTCTACAGGTACTGGACTTCTACAGATGGAAATAAGTTATGTATACCTCATTAAAAAAAAAACATAATTAAGTAAAGACAAAACTAAATTACCAACAACATTAACTGGTGAACCAAATCATAAAGCTCAGATACTTATTGAGCCATCTGGTGATTATCATGGAACTCACAGGTAATGCATTGTCACTTGGTAATTATACTTAGTCAGTAATAAACTTGAAATGTGCTGTGTGTGTGAAAAAGGTGGGCGAAGTGGAAGGTGTCAATGTGGATTGGGTGAACATGGGTGCAAGGTGGATGTTGGTGGGTGAACATGGGTGAGGTGGATGTTGGTGGGGTGCAGGTGGATGTTGGTGGGTGAACATGGGTGCGAGGTGGATGTGCGTGGGTGAACATGGGTGCAAGGTGGATGTTGGTGGGTGAACATGGGTGCAAGGTGGATGTGGCTGAATGAACATGGGTGCATGGTGGATGTGGCTGGATAAACATGGGTGCAAGGTGGATGTTGGTGGGTGAACATGGGTGCGAGGTGGATGTGCGTGGGTGAACATGGGTGCATGGTGGATGTGGCTGAATGAACATGGGTGCATGGTGGATGTGGCTGGATAAACATGGGTGCAAGGTGGATGTTGGTGGGTGAACATGGGTGCAAGGTGGATGTGGGTGGATGAAATATGACCATAAGATGGTAATAATGATGAATGATACAAGAATACAATAACATTAGTATATTTATGAATCTAATTACTCGTCCATAAATACTAGCTAAGTCACCTTGTTAATTTATCTGAAATTTCACTTTAAAAATACCACAATCTTTGTTCTTCCATAACCACACTGCCTATAAATAATATCTTAAATAAAAGCAAAACCTAAAATAATTCACCAAAAGAGGAGATTCATGTCCCCGTTATGTTCAACACTCACTTCTACGATGTAATTCCATCCCTCTTCGTTGAAAACACCGTTTCCTTTGAAGTGAGCAGTAAAGAGTTCTTTAGCCTCCTGTATCTTCTCCTTTGTGACTACAGAACCTTGTAACCACCGTTTCAGTATGTATTGTAGACCAAACAAAACAGTGTAAGGAAACCTGACGGAGAGGAACAGTCAAAGTCAGTCATGGCTTATATGGGAATGTCTCTGTTGAATTATTCTTGAAACCTTTCCAATATAATAAACTCCTTTTCCTTGTCCTATACGTACATCTGTATTATAGAGATATTGAGACATATGTATGTGGGTCGCATCCTGGGGAATGGTGCAATGCAATAACATCTGAGGAACACCTCTCAAAGAAGCAGGACTTGTGTCCTAGAAGCAAGTAGGACAGGTGTCCTACCTGGTCATATGCCTAATGTTGATCTAAACCTAATGTACTGACTGTATATCCTACAAGGAGTTCTTAAACTGTTAAGGAATAGTGAACTTCAACAGCGTGTGTTGTCCTTGTGAACCTGTTAACCCCTGAAAAGGTTCAGAGTTTTCTTCAAACTTGGCAGGAACATTGGTTTCTATAATTGTTTGGACAAGTTAGATAATTAATAAGCAGAATTCATTTAAAATGGACAGTTAGGCAGTCAATTTTCTTTCAAGATATAGAAGTAAACAGCAACAGCACCAGCTACAGGACTGATCAAGTTTAACAGTATGTTGCTATAGACTGATCTGTGCATTTGGAAATACAATACAATACTGTACTGTACACTCTATCACGTGTTGTTCTTCAGACATGTATCTAGAGTTATTCTCAATAGGTAGAGTATACAGTAGAATATAGCTTTTAGAATTATAAACTCCAACTATTTAGTCAATATTACTGTATTAAATTTATTAATAGCTAACTATTCAATTTTCCTCTCCTTACAATAATGCACTTTACAGGTAGCTATTTTCTAAATAAAAGGTGATATTCTCTTCAACATACTCATATGATTTAGTCACACCTACAGTGTGTAATAACAGATAAAAATTTTCTGAGCTTTTCTGTAAAACTTGTTCTGATTTAGAAATAATCCAGGAGATGCCTGGTGTCTACATAGACAGTACAAAGTAAATGATAAGCTACACTGTAATGAGGGGAGATGTTATGTCCACTAGACTACCAAACACTTTCTGGATAGTCATTTTAGTGCAAATATAAACCTGTTCGCTGTAAGGCTGCAGGTCTCCTGGCATTAACTTGCAAAGTTTCTTTTAGATGTACAGTATTATACTGTATCTCTATTAAGTTCTTCCACACTCACACATTAAAATCCCTCAAATTAAGATATGGCCAACAGTCCCTCTGATTTGGATCTTTGTCTGGGTACTGTATTGAGAAAAAAGAAAAGAAAAAAGTGAGCCAATCAGCTAAGTTGCTGAGAGAGTTCATATGAAGGCTATTTAACATCTTATTGGTAGAATCATCTGGGCTCCCACTCCCTTCACATACAGTACAGCTGCATCCCAAGTATAATGTGTTTGTGCAGGGAGAAATCTAGCGCACTTTTAGTTGTTGTACACTGTATTGCTTAATGTATGGTAATAAATTGATGTAGGTTTAATGTACAGAACGAAGTGATCAGTATATGTTTTGTTATTAGAGCCCTATGACCAGTAACTCGAGAGTCTAGGAATTAATAAGAAAATAATTTAGGCCTATTATTTGTACAAATAAAAATGTCCAGAGAAGAGCAATATGGTTTGCAGATTAAAGGTACAGACAGTTAAAAGTAAAAGGGTGGCACGTGAGCTGTCAATATGTATGTATATAAAAGTAGAACACGTTGTCTCTTGCGATGACCGAGAAATTGTTCTTTTCACGTTCTCTTGCTCAGGGTTGGGTTAGCTTAGGTTTCTCAAGAATCATTCAACTCTCAGCCATTGTGAGAGACAACACGATATGATTTTTTCATAAAATTAACCTCTGCCATATAAATATAAGCTATAGAAACTGAGGCTGGGGGCAGGGGCATGCAAGACAATACTGATACTTCATGTTCATAATTATTGTACAGTATTCTGTATAATGCAAACATGAGCAACATTCCCATAATCATAAACAAAATTAATTATATTTCAACATCCATGCTTTCATTTGAAAGCATCAGCCTTTTACATTTTAGCTGGTATGCCACTTAAACAATGGTAATAAAATCATATTCTGTAGTACATACCTGCCTCCACGTGACTCAAAATACGAGTACACTGATGAGGTGCCGGGCGGGTACTGGCGGTGGTGGGAGATCTACCAAGGAAAATGCCTGCATTATGCCAACCATAGGAGAAGGGTCCAGGACTATTGTGGGTGGGGAACCTCTCACTAGGACAGTGTCTGGGTAAGTGAGTGGGGAAAAGGTAGAATGCTGTGCAATATATTAAGTTTTCTTTAAAAATTCTGGATTTATGAAAGAAAAGTTTTAAAATAAAAATATAGCAGGTTTTCAAGGAATACAGCAGTTCTAAGCAAAGTATTACTATACTGAACTTAATTGTGAGACTTAACAAACAATGATGGGATGGATATACTGCAGTGGCATACTATACAGGTATAAATAAAAAAAATCCCTTTCTAACTGTTGATTACAAAAACTGGTTCAAGTTTTGCTCAAAGATGACACATTTGCTACACCTTTATATTCAACCATATAACAGTGACTGATTCCTCTCAAGCAATATTAATCAACTTCTTTCATACACTATCACAAGTTGATAGTAAATATAAAATTTTTACAAAATCTAAGTGTATGTAAAACAATGTACAGTATCTTAAATACTGTACAGTACTACAAAAGGCTGTTTTAACTCCTGCATATCAAGGCCCATGATAACTTTTCACCACTTCACAACTACCTATCCTTTCCACAGGGATAATCCAATGTTCATCATTAGGTAAATGAATCATGTTTTCAGGACCCTAACCATAACACATTATTAGTACAATACAATACTGTATATAAGATGTATACCATGACGATATTGGTACATGTTGGTGAAGCAAATAGCTCACTAAGGACAACAATGGCTCTGTATGGTTTAACTCTATTATTTCAACCGTTTTACCCGACACTATTAATGTATACTTACTGAACCAATATCAACTTGTGTGGTGATCTGACTGAATAATTATCAATCTACTGTATATATCTACCATCAATTAAACATTATATACATTCTTCACAACCACCAGGGGAATCTGTGAATCACCTAACAAGCTTGTATCACCTGAAGATTAACCACCCTAACACTAACCTAATCTAACCAAATAGCAAACGGGTAGTTAAATCTTCAGGTGAAATAAGCTAGGGAGGCAAATATTCATGTGATCTGAATTTGGACACAGCAGCCATACACAGTGACAGGCAGCATGGGACAATGAATACACATATTTCATACAAAAGTAAAAATAATTAAGCTCATTCATCCAACTCGTGTACTATATATACTGAATCTCCAATGAACAAGCTGCAAATTGATCAACAGTGATTGTTACGGGGAGCCACTAATTACCCAAAAGTATAGCAAATAAGGGTAAAATCTTAACGAATATCTGTTATACATACACAAAACATGTTTAATAATATTTTTAGTGTAATTTTGTAAAAATAATTTGTAAGATGAAATAATAAACAGCGAAAAACTTTCAGTATTAGCGAACGCTAAATTCCAATGAGTTCGTAAACAAGGGAGATAACTCAGATCCATCGTGATGCCCTAACCTAACCTAACGAAACGTAAATCCCACGGCTATGTTAAATACCCCAAAGTAACAGAAACATAGGTAATTATATCTCCATTTTGGATAGGTGACTCTTTGGAATTTAGCGTTTTTCGATGTTTATTATTTCATTATTTTGACTACATTTCAATGAAAACATTATTAATCAGGTTTTATAGATGTAAAACATATATTCGTTAAGATTTTACCCTGATTTAATATACTTTTGGGTACATTTGGGTACTTTGTTGGACCGGTTACGAGGGCTGTGGTGGTCAATTATATGTGACGCCTGACACAAACCAATAAAATCTAACTCATTAGTGTTAGGTTTGGTTGCTTGAGATAAATCCAGCTGACTAGTTTCGGTTTTATGGTTCAATCTGATCACATGAAGACTAGACCCCTGTTTATTTAACCTTATTATTATACATGCTAATGCTAACCTCCTTCATATAGTGTTTGGGTATTTAATATGTTTAACAAGTCGGGATGTGTAATCTTCATGTGATCTATTATATACACAATCAAACTAAAACAAACTCAATTTAGGATCATTAAGTTTCATTCACATCAAGTTATATAAATGGTTAGGTAATGTTGTACAGAGGCAGCACACACCTGACCCTCCTACAAAATAAAACAATGAACTAGACAAGAGGTCAGTACAGTACACTAATATAATATACTATACGTGTACAGTACAGGGTGGTTCGTCATCAACAATAGAAGAACTAAGTACGGTATTATTACTAAAACAATGGCATAATCCACTTTAAAAAAGGGGCTCTCAAGAAATATGTGAATTGGTATGGCGATAAGTACCAAGAACTAGAATAAATATAGCAAAGCTTGTTTACTGTCATCTCCAAGTCAACACTTCAAAATTCTTAACCGGATTATAAAGTCGTCTTAACCTACAAGTTAAAGTCGGTAAAGGTATAAACATGGATTAGAACGATTAAAGAACACCGTTATTTACTTGATAATACAAAAATAACGTTAAACCATCCATTTACCTTGTACGAGTCAGCAAGAAGAATAACATTGTCGATCACACTCTCCCCCATGGCTGCCTAGTGTCAACTGAATGTTACTGGCAACACAAAACATGAGCCTCGGGCAACACAGCTGCCAGACACTCCCCGGGCCACTTGTCCCAATTATCTCTCATTGTTCATATTTTTAAATGTAGGTAACTATTGTATTATTTTCGTTTGATATAGAAAAATCATCACACACAAACACATTGTGTTTCCCTTTACCTGTGTGGTTTTATCAAGATTTATCTTGTCCAAGTTACCATTGTGGCTCTACACACACACACTATTATTATTATTATTATTATTATTATTATTATTATTATTATTATTGCAACATTTTACTTTTACTTTTATCCTCTTCACCACTGATCGGCTCGTTAGCCGCTTAAGCGATCGGTTACATCTCTGTTACTTTTCCTTTTCTTTTATCCTCTTCACCAATTGATCGGCTCGTTAGCCGCTTGGGCGATCAGTCACGTCTCTGTTACGCATTGTTGTTAAGTAATGGGCATGCACCGGCTCCTGAATGTACCTGAACCTACTCCAGTGTTGGTCAAGTCTGGTCTTGAAAGAGCTCACACTCGGTGCCGTCACAAAACTTTGTGGCAGATTGTTCCGAGAGTTCACAACTCTCACTCCGAAAATGTTTGCCCTCACGGTTTTCTGGACCTGCGACTTCTTCAATCTACAGTAGAGCTGTGACCCCTTGTGGGGCAAACGTCCGCCAACTCCAAGTAAGGACATTCGACTGAGTAGTGCCCCTTGAGATGCTTATACACCTCAATTAGGTCGCCTCTTGCCCATCTGTAGTATAAGCTAAGCAAGTTCAGGCGCTCATCTCTCAGGGTAGTTGAGGTGCCGAAGTGCAGGCACCAGTCTAGTGACCCTCCTTTGAACATTTTCAACCAACTGACAGTCCCAAGCATATCTCGGGGACCAGACGGGGTAACAGTACTCCAGATGGGAAAGCACTTCACTCTTGAAGATCGTTACGAAGGACGGACCGTCTAGATATCTGAACGACCTTCTTATATGACCCAATAATTTATTTACCTGATTTACCTTCTTCTCGCAATGGCCCGAGAACTTCAGCTCATTGTCAACATACACACCTAGGTCCTTCTCACATTCAATCTGAAATAGTGCAGTTTCTTCATCCCATTGGGACATATGATACGCCTCCTTACCGTTGGTACGCCCCAGGTGCATCCTCTTACACTTCGTGACATTGAATCTCAGCAGCTATTTCTTCAATCATTCTTGGAGCTCACAGAGATCCTTCTGCAGCTCTTCACAGTCCGCATGGTTCTTGATTTCCCAAAATAATTTGGTGTCCTCGGCAAATATTTATATGGAGGAGTGTATAACGTCAGGCATGTCATTTATGAAACAAACAAACAACAGCGGGCCCAATACACTGCCCTGTGGCACCCCGCTTGTGACAGGTACAGATGATGATTTCGTGTCATTAATCACCACACACTGCTTGCGGTCATGTAGAAAGTATTCTATCCACGCGAGGACATTTCTCCGAATTCCGTACCCTTCCAGTTTGATTTTCAGCCTTTCGTGGGGTACACTGTCGAAAGCCTTGGCAAAATCTAGGTAAATATTGTCGATATTACCACCCAGTTTCAGAATATGGGTCCAAATATCCAATACCTTGAGCAATTGTGTTAAGCAAGAGCGCCCCGGCATAAAATCGTATTGGCAATCCTTTACAAGGTTGTTTCGTAGTAAATGTTCCATCGCGGCATCTCTGATAATATTCTCAAGTACTTTACATAATACGCTGGTCTGGCTCACCGGTCTATAGTTGTTCATGGAGTGACGATCGCTCTGCTTGAAGATAGCCACAAGCAACTTTCCAATCACTGGGGACCTTTTGTTCATTCAGGCATTTACAAAACAGGATCTTCAAGGGCTCGGCAAGCTCGTTGCACAACTCTCTTAGTACTCTGGGGTGCACCATGTCAGGGCCGGGACTCTTATGGATCTTTAGCGTTGGCAGTTTATGTCTAATACCCTCTTCTGTGAACACAATGTGGGTCAGTGCTGTGTCGAACCGTCTGTCCTCAAACGCAGGAAAGTTAATCGCATCCTCTCTTGTGAACACCGAGGAAAAGAAGCTGTTCAATGCCTCAGCTTTATCCTGGTCAGAATCTGCGTAACTACCATCTTCAAGCCTCAGGTCTGATACTCCTACTCGCGTTTCTAATTTCGACTTTGCATAGCGGTAAAACGCCTTTGGGTTTGACTTGACCTCGCTTGCAACCAGCCTCTGGAACTCCTTTTCAGCCATTCTACATTCTATCTTTGCTTGGTTTCTGGCTCTTGCATACATCCTCCTGTCCTGCTCATCATTTGAGCCAACGCACGACTTGAATTTCTGGGTTTTCTTCTAAACTTTGTCGACCGCCGCATGGTTCATGTGTAGGGATCCCTCCGTACTCCTAGAGGCACTGGGTTTGGTCTTGGGTATGTATTTATCGATCAAATGGGTCACTTTTCTAGTTATGATATTCAGCGTAGTGTCTGCGTTCTTGTGCCTTAATGAGTCAGACCATCGAATACCCCTCATCTCTTCCCTCATCCCGTTGTAATTTCCCCTGTAATATTTGCACCTTGGCCTGGCCTTATCCTGAACTAGGTAACAGTTAAGTTTGAATGACAACACCATATGGTGACTGGTGCCAACTGGGGCAAGGTGTTCCAGTTTGGCCACCATACCCTCCTCGTTTGTTATGATGAGGTCTAGTGGCTTGGGTGTTTGCTCCCCTCTGTAATGTTGTAATGTGTCGGGTCTCTAACATCTTGGAACAGAAAATTATATCTCAGAGTTTCTACAAAAAAGAGTAGCAGGATTATTCAAGTAACTTGGGGTGAACTCGTTTCTCCAGTCGATGTCGCCATAGCTAAAGTCCCCCATGATAAGGAGGTGACTTGGGTTGAGCATCGCCGCGTTGTCTATTAAGGCTCTTAAGTTCCTTTGATTTAATGGGCCACAGTTTGGGGATCTGTAGATACACCCGACAATAAGTAAGTCTTCTCCCTTTTAGTTTAATTTTACACCACTTGGACTCTTCAAAAACATCCTCTCCCTGTACCCTCGCCTGGCTGGCTCCAAGGTCTTGCCAAGCATAGATAACCACACCCCTCTTGCAAGTTTCTTGAGAAAGGTTCGTAAATGAGTCATATCCAGCAATACTGAACTCACATTCCTCTGGGTCGATTCTCCTGTTCTTGTACAACAGTTCGACGACTCCTACAATATCTGGTTGGTGTACTCTTAGTAGTGTTTCAAACTCCTCTCTCTTATCAAGGAACGTGTCAGTATTAGTGTACATGACATTCAAGCCAGAATTTGTTCTCGGTAACGTCTCTGCTCTTAGTAGGAACCCCGCCCCCTCCGCCCATTCTCAGAAGCTGTTGTGTGATTAGTTTAATTAGGTTGCTAAATTGTGTCTGTATGAATCTTGATTGGTGTGAGTATTGAGGGTGTGGTAATGTTTGGTGAGTGGTCTTGGGTACGTGGTGTTCTATGGCCTGGCTAACGTGCTCGTACCATGTGTCCAGTGATTGGTCTATTAGAGAAGTGTGCCTGTTGTGTAATTGTATGGGTTGCAGGTTGTTTAATTCTCGTTTGAAGTTTTCCCAGTTAGCTCGGTTATAGTTGAAACTTAGCCTGGCCGGGATCTGTATTGGGGCTGTGGCTATGATAGGGAGATGATCATTCGTGGATATTGGGCCGGGTTCGAGTAGTATGTTTAGGTGGTGGTGTTGATTTGTTAACACGATGTCTGGATATCCTGTGTGGCCTGCTCTAATGTACGTGGGGAATTCCGGTCCGAGGTGTACCACGTTGCCGTGGCTCACTAGTGTGTTCAGGACCTGGCCTACTGCGTTGTTGGTATGGTGTCCTAGTATGCGGTGTCTAGCGTTGAGATCACCCAGAAAGTATGCAGGTATATTCCTCCTCATCAATCTGAGCATGTCCGCTATTGGAAAGATAGGTCGTCTTGGAGGGAGGTAGCAGGTGCTGATTATAATCAGCACCTGCTGATTATGATTGGACCTGTGGTGCTGTTAATTTCAATTGCCAGAAAGTGTTCTTGAAATGTACCATGGATTTTATGTTTTATACTTCGTTTAATTGCTATGGCTATTCCATCATGTAATGGATTTTGGCTGTTTTTTTTTTTTTGGTATACTGTGTAATTGAATATCTTGATTTTATTTGAATTACCCTTGCCGTGAGTATTTAATATAATGACGTCTGGGTCCAGGGTACGATATATGAGTATGCTGTATAATTCGTGAGCTATTGATGTGGTCCAGGTCAGTACATTATGCTGAATTATTTTAAGTCTGTTGATTATGAATGATGATGTCTCGAGCTAGTTTGAGGCATTTTTGATGATCGATGTTCTCCTGAAGACCTTCTCGCCGTGTGCAGGCCGAGGCGGATTTTTCTGTACTTGGATTGCTCCACCTTTTCTATTCTGTTATATTTGGTCAGGATTCTTCCTCTCTTAATTAATGTTGCTATGTGGTGATCTTCTAGATTCTTAGCTGTATATGTATATTTTACTCTTCCTTCCCTTATCTCTGTCAGTAGTCTCTCGGTTGAGACTATTTCGGGGGCTGAGCAGGTTTACACCTCACCGAGGTCCTAATTCTCAGTAATTTTTCTTGGTGACGGTGGTGGTGCCACGTTTCCCATTTTGTTCTTTATATGGGTGCTATATATGATCGCTTGTTCAGGTTGTATCACAGATTCATGTTGTAAAGCGGATTCCTGCTCTTCTTCGTCTTCCTCCATCCCCTCTTCACTACTTTCTGGTTGGGGGGTTATGTCGGAATTGGCTTGTGATTGGGTGTCATGCGCCTGAGTGGTGGTTTCCGCTGATTTGTAGTTCAGGTTGAAGACTTCTGAGGAGGGAACGTCGTTGGGGAATTCCATGTCTGGGAGGTTATTTGTCGCGTAACATTTCCTTTACCCTTTTAGCAAAACATTCTAGTTTGGCAATATTCAAGAGGTGGGCGTGTATTATTGCCGTCATGATTTTAACCGA